TTTGCCACCCCAGAATACGTCTCTTTGGCATGAGGAAGAAACAAAAGACTCAAGAAGTTTTTTTCTTTGTTTTCTTTTCACCTCCCCCTTAACTACCTAAAAGAATTCAGAGAGAGGGCCTTCTCCAGGAAAGAGAACTATCACCAGAGCTATCTATAGTATAATATGAACTAGGTGTGGTAGACAGGCAGGAAACTAGCAAAGTCAGTTTGTTAAAATTCCTCTCTCTGTCCCATTGTTTCTACACGGCCCAGCAAACATTTAACAAACATTTGCTCTTTTTTCATCTTCCTACAAATTGCCTTCCTTCCCTTTGAAGTCCCAGACACGTGCTCCCTTCTCCTTAGTCCAGAATGACATATATACCTCATGCTGCCTGTATTTGGAATCTCTCATGTTAATGTGGATTTCTTGTACATAAGTAATTAAATTTGATTTTCTCCTGTTAGTCCGTCTCGTGTCAACATAATTCTTAGACCAGACAGAAGAGCAGAGAAAGGTAGAGGAAAATTTTTTTCCTTCTTGACAGTTCTCATAAACCTGGATTTTACCTGTATAGTACTTGTTCCAGGTCTGTCCTGCCCTAGCCTCCAAGTATAAGGTCCCTGGGGGTATATACCATGTCTATCCTATTCATAGTTAAATTTCCAGTACTTTGAGGGTTTTGGGGGCGTTTTTGTTTTGTTTTTATAAATTTATTTATTTATTTATTTTTGGCTGCACTGGGTCTTCGTTGATGTGCGTGGGCTTTCTCTAGTTGCGGCGAGCGGGGGCTACTCTTCGTTGTGTTGTGCGGGCTTCTCATTGTGCTGGCTTCTCTTGTTTCAGATCACGGGCTCTAGACGTACGGGCTTCAGTAGTTGTGCCACATGGGCTCAATAGTTGTGGCTTGTGGGCTCTAGAGCGCAGGCTCAGTAGCTGTGGCACACTGGTTTAGTTGCTCCATGGCATGTGGGATCTTCCCAGACCAGGGCCCGAACCTGTGTCCCCTGCATTGGCAGGTGGATTCTTAACCACTGCGCCACCATGGAAGTCCCAAATTTCCAGTACTTTGCACAGTACCTGGAACATAGTAGATGCACCAGAAATATTTCTTGAATGAATAAATGTGTTTGATAAGGAAGTTCATACTATTCCTTAGCTCTTTGGATCAATAACAACAACAACAAAATCTATCTAAACTAGCTTAAGCAAAAAGGGGAAACTTAATTTTAATGATATCAGAGTCTAGATTACAGCCTAGCCTCAGGAATGGAGCAGAATCAGAAACTCAAACACCACTGGAAGTCTCCTCATCTTTCATTCTCTCTCATCAGACCAGCTTCCCCTGCTTGTTACTTCCACACAGTGAGAAAAATATGACTGTCAAGAGAACCTAAGGGTTATATGTTATTGGACCAATCAGCTGGAGAGAAGTTAAAATAGCTCTTTCTCTCTCCAAAATTCCCAAGCAGAAAAATTATTGTTCCAGTGTGGGTCAAGTGCCTGACCCTGGACTAATCAAGTGACCAGGGGCCAGGGGCCTACTGTAGAAACATGACAGTTCCCACTGCAACCTTGTAGTTTGGGTGTGGGAGAGCTGACTGCTGGAAGAGAGGTTTGGGGCAGACCAAACTGTGGACAACCACTGAAGTGAGCATGGGCTCCCCAACACACACCAGCCCAGCTCCTCGGCCACAGCTCCAGCATCTCCTTGGATTCATGCCAGGTTCTCTGGGGCCTCCACTGGGTCCCAGGCAGCTTGCTGGAGTCCTCTGGTAGATTCTAGTATCTGGATTTCACTCTTCATTAATTACTCAGAACCGTTCTTCCCCAACAATGCCAGTGTTCAGAGGGACCATGGGCACTTGAGGCTTCACAGGGAAGGCCTCCTCAACAACCAGGAGGTCCTGCTGGGCCTTCCTGGCTGCAGAAGGTGGAAAGTGGAGTCCGGAGAGACATTAGGCAAGGTCAGACCTCAGGAGGAGGCAGCTCTCTCCATGATTTCCCCCAACAACCACTCTATCCTACCAATTACATCTGGCCATCATGCAGCTCTGAGGGCTGGGCTTCCACAACCATGTAACAAATGAGGAAACTAAGGCCCTGAAAGGGGGCAGGATAGGAGGCGTAGTCATTCAGCAGATCAACAGCAAAGATAACACTTGGAGTGAAGACTGCCGCCATGTCCTGCCTGCTGCCCGCTGCACATGGTGGGCTGTCGCTCCAGGACCTTGCTTCAGATGTATAAGCTCCCCCATCCATTAAATCATTGATGTCTCTGTTGCTGACTCCGGGCTCTTTCTTCAGTCTTGAAGCAGGGCAAGCACAGGCCTTGTAGGCCTGTGGGGTGCAGCACAACATGTAGACATAAAGAGACCATCTTCCAGAGCCCATCTAGGAAGGATGATGAGAAACCCATAGTCTGAATAAGTGCAGAACCCAGCTCCCCCCACATGTTCCAGCTCATCTTGCCTGGCCTCCTCATCCGTCAGTGGGGCTCTGGCCTCCTCATTGGCCAGTGGGGCTCCCAGCCTCCGAAGCAGCAATGAAAACTCTCATGCAGCATCTTCAGAGATACTCTGGGCTTCAACCATTACCCCAGGCCTTCCAGCCGAAGCTAATTTTTAAAAATGTGAAAGGATTTTTCTAGAAATGGCAAGACGTTGTACATGGAGAGTTGGATGTTACTTGGCTCCTGTGTTAGAAACAGTTTAGGTACCTTACTGTGAAAGTGAGTCCTACAGTATTTCAGTAAAATGTATTCATAGCAAAAAAAAAAAAAAAAAAGATGACACGAACTTAAGCCTCCTTTTTTTATGCTCTTAGTATAGGGACTGGAAGAGCTTGACATTTCTGCAGAGACATGGCTGTGCTCACCAAACACAGACTACATTTCCCAGGCCCCCTCGCATCTAGGTATGGACCATGTGATTGAGTTCAGCCCATAGGAGAAGGGTAGAAGAAATGCAAGCCACCTCCACATTTGCCCATAAAATATTCCAAGTAATCTTCCACACCCTCTCCCTTTCATCTGTGAGGCTGGAAGCAAAAGGCTCTGAGGTGGCAGAGCTTCCTAATGGAAGAAGGCCGAATCTCTCATTTCACCGCTTGAAGGAGAGCTGCCCAGGAGAGAGCCACCCTACCAAGAAGATCTGCTGTGGACTTTACTGGAGCAAGAAATAAATCTCTACTGTATGTTAAGCCACTGAGTTTGGTTTTTTTTTTTTTGGCCTTGCCGCACGGCTTGCAGGATCTTAGTTCCCCAACCAGAGATCAAACCCAGGCCCTCAGCAGTAAGAGCACGGAGTCCTAACCACTGGACCATCAGGGAATTCCAAGCCACTGAAATTTTGAGGCTATATGTTATTATCCATAGCCCAGCATACCTAGACTAGTACATCTCTGGTGAAGGCCCTCTTCTCTATGGAGAATTAGACCTGACCTCCTCTAGCACTCTCTCTGTCCTTTGACTCTGACAAAGACCCAAACTGCAAAGGGGCAGTGCAGCTTTGCAATTAGGAACAGAGGCCTTAAATCCAGTCACATCTGAGTCTGAACTCAAGACCCACCACAGACAGACCTAAGCAGCTTTCTGGATCTCTTTGAGCCTATTTCTACATGTGTAAAATAATGATACCCAGTCCAAATGTGTTTGTAAGGATTCAGTGAGATATGATGTGCCAGTGGTCTCTGCCCTGGGGAGAATGAGGGAGAATGGATCTGGAGGGGTGAACAAAAGGCAGCAGGGCACCATGTCAATCAAGGGAAGACTGGATTCTGTTTTATTTGGAATTTTTCAGCAGGAGAGTTCACCACTGCAGAAAAGCATAATGCAATTGCAACAGTACTGGTGGTATTCGAGCCATTACTATAACATGTCTGTATCAGTGAGGGTTGCATTTGCAGTTGTTGCAGATTGGCGGGGAATAATTACTTCATTATATCTTCTAGTGAGGGTCTGCCCAAGCATTTCCCTGCTGAAAAAAACAAGTGTATGTATATATGCATATAATCTTCTCTGTATGGTTCCAATTTTAGTATATGTTCTGCCCAAGTGAGCATGAACTATATGTTCTATTATTATAAATTCTTTCTATTTCCCCCTTTACACTAATTGTGGCATTTTGTGGTTTAATATTATTGAACTGGGATGTAGGCTGGTTACATTATCTATAAATGCTGAAGTGGCACTGAAACGTATTATAAGAACAGGGCACTGGGTTGCATAAAGTTGAGAACTACAAGGTGTAGGTGACTCAATGCCAGCACACTAAGAAGTGCTCGGTAAACAGTACCTATTTTTAGGAAGTCTGTTATCACCCTTCATCGCCTCCAGGCACCGTTGGGTTGAGGACCCTGGAGACCAGTCCTTCTGTGAGTCACCAGCGCGGTCGGTCGCGGAGAAGAGGGCGCAGACTGGAAGCCAGTTCCCCTGGGGGGGGGGGGGTGGCGCTAAATGACGCAAGCGTGGGTCCCGAGCAACCGACACTGACACCACGGACCGCTCCCTCGGAAGCAAGGTGTCTCCTGAGGCAGGGACTCTTTCTCTCGAGCCCTGAAAGCCCCGCGACGCCCTGTACCAACGGCGCCTGCGCGGCTCCCTCGACGCAGACCAGCATCCTGGGCTTTCCCCCAAAGCCGCGCAGTGGGGCGGGGCCTGGCTCCAAAGCCGCCAACCAGGCGCGCCCGGCCCAGCTGACGTCAGCGAGTTGGACGGGTCGGGGAGGAGTGGAGTTGGCCTGGAAGCTAGGCCGTCTCACCCCCAGGGGAAGGGAGGAGGTGGGAGAATTGGGAAAAGAGGGAAGGAGGAAAAAGGCAGGCGGGGACGGGAAGTGAGCCCGCGGAAGTCTGACTCAGGTCAGTCTGGACAGCCGTGGGGAGGGGAAACGGGGTACCAAGTTACTTACCTGCTTGAAACTTGGCATTCAAGGCGCCTGCCTCCATCTCCGGCCTAATCTCCCTGCCATGTCCGGGACCCTCCCGCAGAACTACTTATAGACTCCTCCAAAGGCCAGGCTAATCCATGCCTATGTGCCTTTGGGTACACAGTACTCTGCCTGAATTGCTTTTCTCTGGCTTATCTAGCTTGAGGCTTCCTTAAAAATGTCACCTTCTCCATGAAGTATTTCCCAGTCCAGACATAATTACTCTTATCTCTGTGCCAAAATCCACAGATGTCTACGGTAGACGAGAATGGCCGTTTATCACTTTAGTACAGTGCTTGCAAACTTCAGTCTCCATCAGAATTACCCAGAAGGCTTGTTAAAGTACAGACTGCTGACTCCAGAGTTTCTGATTCTATTCTGGTCTGGGCTGGTGTTGGAGGAAGAATCGAGAGGGCATGACCACTGATTGACCCACCAGCTGGACTCAGGCAGTCGCAGGCTCCTCCCACACCCTTTGTCTTTGGAATGTAGGCTCAGCCTACTTTCCCACAGTGGGAGCTGTTTCAAGGACGTAGCCTTGAGAGAGAAAGGTGTTTTTGAGACTGTCTGGACTGAATATATGACTGAATCCAGTTAAGGTCTCTTTAACTTTAAGGTTTTGGTGGGCAGGTACAGGGATCTATTCGTCTTGCAGGCGCCAAAGACAAGCCTCAGAAGTAAGTACCCTTGCCACCTACCAATCTGGAGTGGTCTAACTCTTTCTTTGGTCTCTCCCTGCCCTCTGGGTATGGGACCAGTTTGTGAAGGAACAGGTAGGGCCAAGGCTTTTCACTCCAAACCAAGTTCCCAGGTGTTGTTGATGCTGCTAGTCCAAGGATCACACTTTGAGAACCACTGGTTTAGTGCAAGAAATCATCATGCCTGGGTACGATCAGTGCTTATTTGTTAATTCACTCAATAAATGTCTCCTTTGGGCCTGCTGTGTGCCAGCCGGGACCAGGGGTTGAGTATTCACTGTAAGCAAAGCAGACATAGAACCTACCCCCACTGGGGACACGGAAATTAAGCAAATAAACATACTATTATATTAACAAATTGTGATAAACACTCTAAAGGAAAAGAAAAAGAATATCATGAAAAAGAATAGTAACAAGAACCTATTTTATATTTTTCCTATTTTTTTTTTTAAAGGGGAGAGCACAAACGCAGTCCCCCACAACCACAAATTATGCAACTGAGTTTCTTTCACACATTTTAGGAAATCGCAAGGGTCGGCACACTCGGAGTGCAACGGAGGAGCGTCGCCCTGGGAAATACCACCTTCTTGATCATGGTATTTCCCCTGCCAGGTAAGCATACAATAACCTATTTTAGATCGAGTGGTCAGGTAAGGCTTTTGGGGGAAAAGGGGCATTCATAGAGGCGTATTTTAAACAAACTCCTATAGGGTGGACTTATTGCACAGTATTATGACCTGTTTTTAAGTTGTCCAGCCTAACACTAGACTATGTTCTCCTTGAAAGCTAAACTCTTGTCTTATTAATATTTTTGCCGGGACTTCCTTGGTAGCGTAGTGGTTAAGAATCCGCCTGCCGGGCTTCCCTGGTGGCGCAGTGGTTGAGAGTCCACCTGCCGATGCAGGGGACACGGGTTCGTGACCCGGTCCGGGAAGATCCCACATGCCGCGGAGCGGCTGGGCCCGTGAGCCATGGCCGCTGAGCCTGCGCGTCCGGAGCCTGTGCTCCGCAACGGGAGAGGCCACAACAGTGAGAGGCCCGCGTACCGCAAAAAAAAAAAAAAATAGAATCCGCCTGCCAAGGCAGGGGACATGGGTTTGAATCCTGGTCCGGGAAGATCCCACATGCCACGGAGCAACAAAGCCCATGCCTCACAACCACTGAGCCTGTGCTCTAGAGCCCGTGAGCCACAACTACTGAAGCCCACATGCCTAGAGCTCGTGCTCCACAACAAGAGAAGCCACTGCAATGAGAAGCCCGCGCACTGCAACTAGAAGAGTTGCCCCCGCTCGCTGCAACTAGAGAAAGCATGCGCGCAACAACGAAGACCCAACGCAGCCAAAAATACATAAATAAATAAAGTTATTTTTTAAAAAGACAAAAAAATATATATTTTTGCCTTCAGCGTGCTGCAGAGAGTAGGGCCTTGATAGATAACATAAGAATGGATGGAAAGATGGAGGGAACATTGGAAGAATGAACAAATGAATGAATAAAATGTCAGATGATGTATGCATGTGTGCATGGGTGGATGGATGGTTGGATGAAAGGATGATGGTGGATGGATGGATAACTGTCTCTGGCATCAACACAGAGAACCAGGATTCTCTACCTACCAGTGAGGCCAGAGTAGAAACTGATAGAAACTTAGCTGACTCCTTTACTGTATTTCAAGATCCTGTTAATCATTTAAGGTGACCACAAATGGCCCCTTCTCCCTAGAGCTCCCTTGATTATTATTGCTCAGCCTCACTCCCCACATGAATGCGTTTTATCATCTCTCACACTCCCGCACATGCCACACTTACTTCAACACATGCAACTGCCCTATGCTTGCCACTTACCACCTGTGTGCAAGTCTCTTCTGTGTCAGACTCAGAAGGGAAAAGGACTGGGGGCGGGGAGGAAGAGGAGAAAGTTTTTCTCCTGGCTCTGAGCTAAAGAAGGCACAGAGCACAGAGGGTGGTGAGGAGATTCTTACTCTGATAATTTCTCACATGACTTCAAAAAAAAGCACTTTAAATGACACATTTCCTCTAAATATGTGTCTGAGGCTCCTAAGAGGGACATAGTTTATTCAGAGATTCAATTTGAGTTAAATAAGGAGAAGGAAATCACCCAGGGTCCCTCTGGGATGTTTAAAAATGGGAAGTGAAAAGAAAATTATGTAGAGACGAGCTCCTTCCGTTTGAAAACTCTCCAACCAGGGATGAAAGTTCAACTGGCTCTGCAGGCTTCAGACTTCCATACACTTGTTTCCAGCCCCATGGAAGCTCTTAGCCACCCAAGCCTGTCCTCCTATGCCAAAGGAACTTGACTTCAGAAGGGAATTTCCAAAGGATTTACAGGTGGGAAAAGAGCCCCTCTCCAACCAAAAGAGGGCAGAACAGAGAATCTGGGACATGAAATTCCCCAGAGATTGAAATAAAATACTTCTCAACTGTGAAGGACTTGAACAGAATACTCTCAAAAGAGGACAAGAGATAACAAGTGTGGGATGAACGTCCAACCCCAATATTAACTAAAGAAGTGTAAAGAAAGCAAGATTTCACAGGTATGCACACACACGCATGCACACATTTCAAACTGTAATACTCCAAGTCAGGATGTCCTGAAATAGCCTCTAGTGGGACTGTAATTGGTACATTTCTGAAGTCATTGGGCAGTAAGTAGGTCTCAAATGTCTATAAAATATTCATGCTCTTCCCCCCCAAAAAGTGGAGGATACGATTTGACACCAATTTATTTCCAAATCTGATTATCTATCCTAAAGGAATCACTTGAAATACAAAACAACAGCAAAAAGAACACTAAACACAAAGACATTCATCTCTGTGTTACATAAATTAGTGAAAGACTGGAAACAGCCCAAAAGTCCAGCAACTAAAGAATGGTTGTTGGACTTCCCTGGTGGCACAGTGGTTAAGAATCCGCCTGCCAATGCAGGGGACGTGGATTCGAGCCCTGGTCCAGGAAGATCCCACATGCCACAGAGCAACTAAGCCTGTGCACCGCAGCTACTGAGCCTGTGCTCTACAGCCCATGAGCCACAACTACTGAGCCCGCACGCCACAACTACTGAAGCCTGTGTGCCTAGAGCCTGTGCTCCACAACAAGAGAAGCCACCACAATGAGAAGCCCGCACACCACAACGAAGAGTAGCCCCCGCTCGCCACAACCAGAGAAAGCCCACACGCAGCAACAAAGACCCAATGCAGCCAAAAATAAAATATTCATTAATTAAAAAAAAACAGTGCTGGCTCAGTAGTAAATATGCTGTTTATTTATGAAGGAAGGAAGGAAGGGAGGAAGGAAGGTTGATTGTTGGTTGGACATATATAGAATTCGATATATCCATGGGTTCTTCAGGGTTCTTCCTTGGGGAATGTGCTAGCAGTGATGTTGTGTAGGATGTAGGCTACAGATCCTTCAGGAGAACACCCTGACTGAGTCCCTCGAGTCCAAAACCTGGTTCTCAGCTCCTCAGGGTCAGAACCTTACTTCTTACTGCACCACATAAGAACAAATTCTTGGTGACAGACTTTCACTAATAACACCCATGGCTGATAACATCAAAGGCTGATTTATTAGATTATGGTGGATGATATCCCTTTTCAAACAGCAGAATACGTAGCCACTGCCCAAAATCTGTCCCTCATCTGGTTTTGTGTAGATGGGAGGAAACATCAGAAGGTTTCTTGGTGAGCTGCATGTTTGAATAAAAGAAAACGGGTAGTCTTGAGGAGTATTTTTTCAAACCATGGTGAAGCTTGATGAAATGTCCTTGATCTATAGGACAGACAATTTCTCTAATGACTAAGGTGCTTGTTTCTCTCCCCTGGAGATCCCGAAGGCTGCTTGGTGACCAGCTGGCTTTCTTGCACCTGCCTGTCCATGCTCACTGCTTCTCTTTTTATGAATGCAGTTCCATTCTCAGCACAGGTGACTGACCAATCCAGGGGTGGCACCAGCTGGATCAGTCATCGTCCCTCCTATGGGCATATGGAGTTGGGATTGTGCTAGTTCTCAATCTATTGCCTCTCAGCTCCAAATTCAATCTTCATTGTCTGCTCTGCAGAAATGTAGTGGATCATCTCAAAATTTTTCCTTTGCGAGCTGACAGATGGTAAGCTTTGTCAGTAGAGGGCACTGGAGAGACATTGTAGGAGGGATTTTCCTTCCGGATTCCGGTGTGCTCTGCTCAGCCCGCCCCTGTGGCAGGCAGCACCTGGCTTCTACAGCCTGGACAGCTTTTCCAGTATCCAGCTCCTGCGATGCAAGTGACTTGTCTTGCATCAGCTTCCTGCAGGACAGATGGCTTCTTTAGCATCCAACTCCTACAGTGCACAGTGGCCACCATCATCCAAACGCCCCAGCTTCCCCTCGCACTACTGCTACAGGTGGTTTTGTAGAAGAGGGACCCCAGTAAATACATCCCAAGCACTCTAGAGGGTGGATTTCCAGCATATTCTGCTCTGCCAGTGCAGCACCATAGTGACTTCTCTACCATCCTGTGAACCACAGCTACACCCTCTCCTACAAGGTCTGGGTCTTAGCCATGAGGGTGGGATGACGGTGTGGGCTGCCTCAGCCCTAGGGGGAGCAGCTGCTCCTTGCAGCTGCTGTTCCTATACTCCTGAAGTCCACTGGGCCTTGGGAGACTCTCTAGTACCCTAATAATCCTGATAATTAATGTCCCCCTCTTTTTTTTTTCAGTTTAATCTAGCTCTGGTGTGTTTTTGTAACTTATAAACAAAAGAGACTTAACTTGGGAATCCCTGGCAGTCCAGTGGTTAGGACTCTGTGCTCTCACTGCCCAGGGCCCGGGATCAACCCCTAGTCGGGGAACTCAGATCCCACAAGCTGAGCGGCACGGCAAAAAAAAAAAGAGAGAGAGAGACTTAACTAATACAATTGGACTCTGGGAGACCCTGCACCTCTTCTCATTATATATTAACTTCAGTAGAAAATTTAGAGTTTGAGAGATGTCCCCATTTGAAAAAACATTATTTATAGAAGTGAAAATAAGAAGCAACTTGGAAGTCCAATAATAGATAGGATTTGAAAAGTATTAATGTGCCTGTTTCTTTTGGTTTTTTCCTCCTCAGCACAAATCACGTGGGCTAGTTATTCACTTGCCCCTTCAAATCCTTTGTCCACCGTTTTCCACTCTCTCTGTATACTGGGAGGTTGACCTCTGCAGAATACTTGTTCCCCTGCCTTCCCATTCAGTTGGGCCAATGGGAGGCCCTGAAAAGAGATAGAGGGCAGGTGGAGAGAGATGTCAGAGTCATTACTCCCCTAGTTCCCTCTCAGCCAGACCACAGGGGAGGCCATGGCTGCATCCCTCCTCCTAAATCCCTGTGCAACGGTCTCGCTCGCACAGCTGCAGCTTTTGCTGTTGCTCCTAGGACTAGGGGTGGTAACGCCCTCACACATTTCTGGTCCTGAGTGCCTCACCATTTCTTACGTGTTGCCCTAGGCTTGCTGGCATCTTTGTAGGTAGTCCTATTATGAAACTCTTCAGTGACTGCGTTGAGTAAGCCATCTGTTTTCTGCTGAGACCCTGGCCGATTCTGTATCCATGAGAAGGCAGGAGGAACAGGGGTTAGAATTTGTTACAGAAAAGATGCAAAGAGGAAGACTAAGGTTTCTGACATGCAAAATGGGATTACATAGAAAGATAAAACCCTTAAAGGCAGGCTATTCAAATTATTTCTTCAGATTATTCTTTAGTTAGACCCACTGTTAATTTTCCCTATTAAGGAGGTAGGAAGTTGTGCAGGAGACTAGATCAGCTAGAGACGAAGAATATAGAAATCACAGTTTTTCTGCACATTCCCAGTCGAAGTGTGATATAAATCTGTAA